CACCAATAAACCATCTTTCCAAGCAGCCTCCATGTCTCCAGTGTCTTTTTCCCCACTTGGAGCTGAACCCAGAAGGACATTTCTTTCATCAACACATAAACACAAACTTTTTTTAAAAAAGTATCCTAAGTCTATTTTACCACTTGTGGCAGAGTTTTCTAGTTTTCTCTTTAAAATGGAAGATAGCCATGTCAGTTGTTTCTGGAAGCGATGTTCAGAGAGAGTTGATGGCCCCAAAGAAGATTCTTTTGTTGTTGTTAGTTGTGAAGTCATGTCTGACCTATCATCCTCTGGAGTCCATTTAAGCTCGTGCTACTTGCTATGTAAAATCATGTTTTGTTTTTAACCATAGTTTGTGAAAAGCTATCAATCCAGTAAATGATTCTTTATTATTTTGTTTTTTTCCTTCTCATTCTGTGTTATAATTTCATCATTTCTGCAAATAGCTTGCAGGTAGTCCTTGACTCACAGCCATTCATTTAACGGCCATTTGAAGTTACAACAGCACTGAAAAAGGTGATTTATGACCAATCCTCACACTTATGTTGCAGCGTTGTTCGGGTCAGATCATCAAAATTTGGGTGCTTGGCAACAGTCATGTGTTTACAGCGTTCCAAGATTATGTGATTACCGTTTCTGGTGATTACCATTATTGATGAAGCAGAATCACCAAGCACGTGTGATTCTGGTGCAGCAGCTGACCACATGGAGTTGAGAGAGAGAGGGGTATTTATACCTTATCTTGGGCTTTGCACTTGAGCCTCCTGTTCCTGTGCAAAGACATGTATTGTATTGCCTGTTGTAGGAGTCATAGCTGGCTCTGTAGGTTGTCTGAGCTAAGTTTGGTTGAAGTTTGGAGGGTGATGCAATGTCCTTAGGAGATTGTGCAATGTGGTGAGCTCCGCTGCCTGATGGTAGTGGGTTAATCCTATTATGTCCTGAAAGATCATGTCTTAATCCCATCAACCTGGAGCTGAAGGTCTTTTGTTCTGTAGATAGTATAAGCGTTCCAAATACCATATAAAATTAAATCAGAGTCGAAGCCAAAACTATGCTTAAAGTTCCAATTTAATA